TTGAAAATCATGTGTTCCGCCCAAAATCCACCCCCCCTCGCCTCGACGTTAACCCTTAACTCCCATGAATGACCAAGACAGAATTTCTCCTCATAATATCCCTACAATACACAAGTGATGAGAATTAAAAGAAATATCATTTAGGGGATTATTAGTTAATCCAACACCAAATTCTCCGAATTAACACCATAATAATTGTACGGCAGACAGTAAAGAGAATAACTGATGAGATCTTAGGAGCGAAAGGGTCAAACAATGGCTGGTCCCTCATTCTTGCCAATTCTTCAGTGGAAAAAAAAGTCTCTTCGGATTCTTTTGCTGAGGTTGCTTCCCGAAAATTGTACAGTTATGAAACAATTCAACAAATTCATAGCTTTTACAGAGAGAATTACTTGCAATGTTATATTGAGTGCAATTTTGAAGGGCAGTCTTAGAGTTGGTTTTACTGCCAAATGTCTTAGAAGACCGAGTTTACCTCTTCACCTACGTTACTTAAAACAAGCAAAACTATCCTTAAATTTTAAGATAGCTATGATTATATTAGGGCCTACCTTATTCCCCTCATAAAGAAAAGTGTCCCAGACTCGCAGGGTTGTCTGAAATAGGAAAAATGGCTATGTATTACTACAAAAGGGATCGGATCAAAATTAGACATCAACAAAATCAGTCTGATATTCTGTTATGTGCACAGCTGGTGACCTATGGTTTTGTTACCTGTATGGGAAAACTGTCCACGAACACAGTCAAAAACCAATTGAAAGAAACCAGCGAAAGATCCACCCTGTCAATCAAACAAAACAAACCAATCACATCTGTCGCTTTAGTTCTATGACAACATAAACAGCTGATCCTTTATTAATCAGCAGAGCGCACGTCGTGGATAATCCTCGACTGTCAAAAGTGTCAAACCAATCAATTTTCCTGACAATACAAGTACAATAACATGCAAAGAGTGATCAGATAACAAAGTAATGGTTTTGACCCAGTGGTAACAGATGATTATGGAGAATAGTTCTGAGCTGGGATGTTGTCGCTTACATTGACTGAGGTTTAGACAACCTTAGTAAATGTCATCAATAAGTTAAAAGTTGTTTGTCGGTCGAGTGTTTAAGTTTGGTTGGTGAAAACTAATGGGTTAATTCTGACGTGATGTTATTTTTCATAAGACTCAAGTAGGGTAAGTCGGTCATAATCGATCAGTGTCTAGTTGTTGCTCTGTTTGGTAAGATAACATGTAAATGTCGTGAATAAGTCGTTTGTATGGTGCCAGTTTTTGTTGAAATCCTTGAAAAAAAGTAAGCTCTAAGTTATTGAACCAGGTTTCCAACGTCAGTTGCTTAAAGTAGTTCGTGCTATAGGTTAAACTTTGCCCAGATGAGAAGCTTCGCAACTGCTTACATAAGAGCGTCGAAATGTGCACTTAGTCTTGGGAGTTTCTCAGCCAACAGATCCTTGAGAACGCGCTGATCAGCTTGAGACGCAACCAATGTTTTGGAAAAGTAATCTCTTGGCATGAGGTGTTCTACAATAGCTACCAAACACCTGAAACAATCAAGGTACAACATTTGGAATGTATTCATTCAAAGTGCACACCATATTGATTATGACAATTGAACTGAGAAAAGTGCAAATTTGGTCTGACAGCAACAAGTGCGATTTCAAACCAAATTAAACGAAACATAGTGCTATTTCCAGTTTACTGCATCTAATTTTAAATCGTCCTGAAAGATAGTCGTCAGCTTTAAGAAACTCATTACCGTCATTCACAGGATGCACATTTCCAAATTCGTCCAACTTTTTCTGAACAAAGTTTAAGCGGGAAAGTTCAGTGGGAAGTCAGTCATATTATGGCGTTTTTCCTTTCATTTTTACAACGCGATTGCCTCGAAATCTAATTGGTTGTTTTGTTTCATTTTACCTCTCTTATTGCCCATAAAAAAAATGCGACAAAGAGTAAAACAAACCTTGATTCCTGAATAAATGGCACTGCTGAGAGCCGTTCAGACTTCAAGCTTTATTACTGAGTTGGAATCATTTCTCTTTCAAACTTTTTCAATTGAAAAATTAATGACCTTTCAATGATACCTCCGTGTCCACCGTCACCATCATCAATAATGACCGTCACGAAAAACGGAATATAAAACACAAGCTAACTAATAACAATTCACACTCACCAGAATGACTCTTCTTCGTTAAGATACAGTAGAGCAATGGCGACCAGCCGGTTTAATCCCTATAAAATACAAAAGAAAGAGAAAATCATGAAAATATGTGTTGTGTAGCTTAAATTAAGAAATGTATAAAGGGGGTTAGTCTCTAAAGAAACTACGGTGCTGCGTCAGTTGGGGGTAAAACGAGATAAACTGGCTTTCTCAACTGAGTTGATAACGTAAATTGGCCACCGTAAGAGCTTTAAAGCTGACGTTTCGAGCGTTAGCCCTTCGTCAAATTAAAAACTATTATGTGGTTTACATTGAGAGAGACATTTTGAATTTGATGTTTCTCTTGTCATCACTATATAAAGCGTTTTATTTGCTTGAAACTTTTGCTTTTTTATCAGCGCACGGTTCATATCTTAAAGTCTTTTCTAACTACGGAAGTTATCTGTAATATTAAGCCGTTAGTATGTGTGGCTACCTGACATAGAGCGCAGGTGTTGTGTCATCTTTCAAGGTTAAGGAAACATAACCAAATGTAAGCACGTAGCTTTTCGGAAATTGTGGTAGTAAAAGTTACTATAAGAAAGAATACTTTAGACGTTGTAGCAGCAAGGTATGGTACACTAAAGAACGAAAAAGCTTTTGTGACCCAAGACTCCTTACACCCTTCACTCAGCGAGTTTGATCAAGATATTTCCCCCTAATGTCCTAAAACAAGTATAAAACGGTTATGTGGCAAAAATTCGTCACATAATTTACACATTATCACCTGACAATCACCTTACCTGACAATAACCTACATCAGGATTATGCCAACTATAAGCGAGAAGAACTTCTCTAAGTTTGGTTGTCTGTTAGAAAATAAACAAACAAACAAATCAAAAAGCAAAACAAACGAAGCGCTAGCTACTGCAACGATAGCAATAGCATAAACAGCTCTTTGATGGTTGCCACAGAAATAGTTTTTTTGTAATTTTCCCTTACTTTTCCCTAACAAATTTCCCCGACCAACTGAATGAGCAATTGGACAAAAGAGTCCTAGCGGCGTCCAATTTCCGCAAGTCACATGCAGAGTACAAGAATCATTGATATTTCCTTGATGTAACGTGGAGAAAGAATTGACTCTCGTGGAAACCAGGGAGATTTCCCTGAGGTTATCAACCGGAGAAAAAATGTACGCTGACGGATGAAAGATCGAATTTAATGGCCTTCGTAAGTTTCACTGGGTTGGGTTCTTGGGCAGAGGTTACTTTACTTTTACATTGTGTCTAATCACTCAGCAGTATATATGGGCCTGGAAACCAGTAAACTGCTCAGGGAAACCTGGTGAAATGTTAGAGGGTTAACTTGAGATGGACTAACCCCATTCAGGAGGAGTGGCAATACTCCTGGAGTTTTCTTGCAACAGAAATCGAAATGAGCTACAGCATCTATGCGAGTCGGTCAATATGCAATGATAGGTAATATCGCTGTTGACCTCAAGCACCTACCCCATCGGCGTCTAGCTTGTCATAGTGTTTATTATTCGGTAAGGTGCGCAGCAAGTCAAGCTCGATCTGCTTCACTGCAGGAGACGGCCGACCTTTGATGGACTCTAGCAGATGATGATAATACTCGTCTCCTGCTATTCTCCTTGTCTCTTGTACGCACTCATCGATGCAGAAATTCCATATCGTGGCGCGATGCTCGTGTGGTACACCAGTTCTAACCAGCGCTTTCAGTTCAGGCTGAAATGGGAAAATTCAAACGTTGTGACGACATTGTTCACAACTTACATATCAACATACACATTTCAGTTGTTTTTCGTTTCAGACAGAAATTATGTTCCCTTTGACATCTGCATAGTAAACTGTCTTCATGAGAATCGTTTTTCTTCTTTTTCGAATATGTTTTCATCGACAAGGTTTGTCTACACGCAGTCCGCCATTAAATTTGTGGTCTCTGAGAAGATCACACTGATATTACTTTTTACGCGAACGTTTCAAAAAAAAAACTTTCGTTCGCGAGACTAACAACTAAAAACGTTAACAAAGACATATCCCAAAGCCGGACCAAAAGCTTACCTCTTTGTTCTTCAACGTTCTTTTAATGTAGACCAGACGAACAAATTAAAAAAAAAAATAAGGCAGGGGAAAAAGGATACGAAAAAAATGAGGCCTCAGTTAGGCCTGTGGCCTTGTGAAAAGAGGAGAAAATTAAATCTGAGCGCTCACCGCTTTTTGCAGATCTCTGTTCTTGTGTGCTACCATATAGTTTTCCCACTTCACTTCTACTGACATTTCTTGTGAGCTTAGTTTTTCCTGAAGGAAAAGAAGCTGTATGTTACTTTGTGTAACACCTTTTAACGGGAGACGCTGTGTGTCCAATTTAGAGATCTCAACCGCACCCGCCCTGAACTTTTAATCCACCGAGTAACATAGGTCTTTTAATGTGGTCAATCGATAATAACATCCATAATAACATCAACACATTTCGAGTGCAACACAACGAATCACCAACGTTTCAGATAAGGCAACGTTTACTACCGGATGTAACTAAACAACTCCACTTGCCATGAGTTCTTCTGATCTTCTGTCCATCTTCTTCGCCATTGATAGGAATGCCTCTTCGTCTTCGCCTTGAAGATTCTGCCTGAAGCCCCAGCGGTCGTACGGTTGAATACTGGGAAAAAAATAATAATAATGATACAAAAACTAATGATAAGATCACTATCACTGGTTAGCAATTAACTTTTATCAACAATTCCGATGACGTGTTCAGCAAGCAGTCACTGAGAATTGACAAACTTATTAGCCAAAGGGTTTCACCTTGATATGACACCAAACTCTCCTAGCTAATTAACAAGGAAATGTCGTGTATATAGAAGAGAGAATTAATAATTACTATCTCAGACGTGCAAAATTACCTTCAACAAAAAGGAGACAAAAATATTAGTTCAGAAAAAACCAAAAAGAAGTTATAATTAAGCAATAAGAAGTTAAGAAGGTGAGGAAAAAAGGAACATCAGGGATTTAAAGAGGTGCGTAATTTTTCACTACAATTCAATCAAGAATTGTTGACATGTCCTCCTACGTACGTCGAGCTCATCGAGTTGGCAGAGTCAAAAAAGCCTCTTAGGAGATGATTCGCCCAACAGAATATGTTATGTAGATACAAATAAGAGAGATGGTAAGTTTTGAGCTCGGTAAAGAAACTCAGGAAGATGTTTTTTGTCCGTCTTGTCACGAGCGTGGGACAAAGAAAAAATTCTGAGTCGCCATGAGGAATCGAACCTCAGATCTTTGGATTCCGCGCCTCGATGCTCTAACCACTGGGCCTTAGAGACTCCACAGTGAGCGCGGTCTTTTACGAAGTTCATATGACACGCATCTTTCTCTATAATATGTTATGTTGTACGCTGAAGCACAGAGATGCTACGATATAAAGATACTTAATTATCACTTGGTTGGGCATTGTGGCGTATTTTGCGTGCTAAGATAGAGCTTTTGGCAGACTAAAATGCGTCATTGTTCGGACGGTTTGTTTGTTTGTTTGTTTTCTTAATAATTTTTATTTTCCTCGATGCCCTCCAAAATGATAATAGTGGTAAGACAGTTTATGTTTTTTGGCATAATAATGTTCTGGACCCCTCTCAGTGCTCATTTTAACCCTCTCCTCGCGGCTCAAGCTAGTCGAGCCCGAAACATATTTATGCCCGCGACCATAAACTCTAATGAATTAATAAACAATTTTCAAACAACGGAGCTGGCAGCCTATGCAAGGCACCCAAAGGTGTTTAGTAGTCCTGCTCTATCGAATCGCAGGCTCGAGTAACTGACCTGGACCGGGACAGTGTCAACACCTCCCGTGATTCGCTGTCAATAGCATCCTCCACCAGTCTACTGATGACATCATCGTCCATGTCCCAGCGCTCGCCATCTAAACGAAATATCCCATTAACAGTTCAAAGAGTTTTCAAAAAAAACTCCCATTGATTGGCTCAAGAAAAACAAGAAAACAAACAAACAACAAAAAACAACAAGACATCTGCAGCTAAAGGCCTCTCCAGCTAATACCATAATACTCTTTTATAAGTAGGTTTGGGCGAAACTCGATGCAAGATTGACTCATCCACAGGCTTAACCTCACCGGGACATGATTACTTAACCTTTAACTCCCATGAGTGACCAAGACAGAATTTCCTCTTGCAATATCAATACAGTATCAACCAGGTAAGTGATGAGAATACAGAAAAATATCAATTTGAGGATAATTAGTTGATCTAATACTATATTCTCTGAACTAACACTACAAGAATTGTATGGTTGACAGTTGGGAGAATTACACATTTGATCTGGGAGTTGAAGGGTTACGTGTCCTTTGTAAGGAGTGGCAAAACGGGAACCTAAGTTGCCTGTAAGAGGTCTTGAAGGTAACCTGGTGTCTAGCTAAGAAATCCTTAAAATATCAAGAATATCGGGCTGAGAACAACGGGAAATAAGCCTCTCAAAAACTCAAAAAAACTCAAAAACCACACGAATTAAACTCTATGCAAGCCAATGATAGCATCACGGGTTTTGTGTGCAGACCTGTAGAGTATTCACATTGTGAAGATCGAAGGATAAGTTTTGAACAAATTTACTCCTTCCTCAGAACGAAGACATAGAAAGATTCACCAAGACTTTCCTTCTAAAGGCTGTTATGGTATTTTCCAAACAAGTAAAACCAACACTTCACCTTTTCGCGGTTTCTGGAGTTCTCTGAGTGCAAGGAAGTACTTGCTTTTATATTTACACATCTCAGCTTCAACGGTGGCCAGTCGTCTGAAAAAACCAAGACAAATTTCATAAGACTGACGACAAGAATTTGCGTCGTCTTTTGTTTCTCCAGAAAGATACCCCCACGCGAAACAAAGGTTTATTATTGTGGTATTAGCTAGAGAACAAAGCGTGCAGCGGGATTTTGAAAATTTGTTAAAAATGGTACTTTTCACTCGAACCACGGCTTTTAACTATTTTGACTTGACTACGCCCTGTAATTGCTCTAGAAAACTCGTATGACCGTCAGTCGGGTGCACAACCAAAAGGTTTCGTGTCTTGATCACTTATGTTTCCCGCCCTTGAGTCAGTTTGCTTGTTTTCTCTTTGTCTTTTCTTTTCATTGGATGACTGGGGTGTTCTCCTTTGTTCTGACTGACCAGTGTGATTGCCGTGGCTCTTTTCGTACGACAATCAATGAAAAATCGCATTATACTTACATCGCCTGCGCCTTGAGAATCTCACTGTCATGCGCTCTGAGCTTATTAAATTCCAGAATCTCGCTGTTTAAGAACCGATTTTGAAGCACATAGGCTTGGCATGTTTCCTTTAAGGAGAAAAGAACAACACCGCTACTTAACTGAAGTTAAGTATGCTAATTTTTGAACAAAGAGAGTCAATTGATGCAGTAACAAATACGAACTGATATTTTTCATGAGTGAACCTGGAAAACTAGTTTGGGAAAAACTTTTTGGGCACCAAGGAGGAGGATAAGTGTCATTCTGAAACCACGTATGTGACAACTGCCGACTAATCGTATCGTGGCACACTTCTTTGGAAATGGAACAAGATGGTGCTCGAGTGTTTGAAAAGGTGTTTAAGACCTAAAATGCAGTAATGCAGAGTTAAAAGATGAATTGGGAAAGAGTAAAACAGGGTGTTTAGTGTAAAAATGATATAATAGTATTCTCTGACATTTCATTGGCTCGTTCGGAATGAGAACCGTTGCTTTCGTGAAAATTCCAAAAATGTACGCAATTAAAAAATTTAAATAATTGAGCTCCACAAGCATTTTATTCAAACGTTGATTTTTGTGAACAGTGCCAAGAAAGCATTTGGCTAACACTGAAAAATCATCAATTTACTTCAAACAAACCACTCGTCAAAACGTCTCGAAGTCTATCGAAACACAGGCGGCCCAAGCTCCAGCTGTGAGATGATCATCTTGCGCAATAACAGTCATGGCGGAATTATAAGAGTTTGTATGTGCATATTTACGACCGCCCTCAGGAATAAAAAAAATACGTCAAATTCTCAAAAAAAAAAACACCTCACCTTACTTCTACAGCGTATCATTTGTTATCTGATCGCTTACTTTGATGAAAAGAGCCCATTTTAGCGAGTTGTTCATTTCGAGGTTTTCAACGTACATAAGAAAAGCCCAAGGCTGAACACACCATTTCCGAACGCCTGATCCGCGAAGCGAAAAATCCAAGCTCAAAATGACCGGGCGACCACAAATCTGTGATTATTTTCGGAGTCATAGGAAAACCTTGGAAGGATTTATTCAAGTATTCAATTTAGTTCTATCTGGACATACTTAGTTTAATTTTACCAACAAGACAACTGTTATTTCGTTTCGTCCGCATGGATATCCAGCAACAATACTTACCACGATTTCCATTTCAGATACGAGTTCGAATTGATTACGTCCTTGCTGCAACCGTGGAATAGACTATTTTTTACCAACGACATTTTTTCCTTTTGAAATTGAAAGGAAATTATCGAGATTTACAAGATCAGCTGTGCGGTTTGCAACTATGCCTGTAAATTATTTTGAATTTGTAAACATTTCCGGAGGCGAACTCGATTGGCCGATCGAAACAATAACCTCTTGATCGATTTCTTTTGAGGGGACCCGTGGTTCTAGAACAATTTATTGACGATAACTGACGGTATGGTCCCCGGCGAGGCTCAGTTTGCAAAGGAGGTAGGGTTACCAAGCTGGTTTTCAACGGTCTTGTGTCAAGGTTGATGTGGCCGCGGGCTGTTAGAAACCTCTAAACTGGAAATTTTTGAAGCAAACTGCGGCTTAGTGTCGGTTGCGCGGGGAAGATTGAGTTTTTAGTGAATTGAAATGAAACTACAGTATATGCGCTTGGATTCTGCGTTGGCTTTGTGGTCGCCCGGTCATTCTGAGCTTGGATTTTTCGCTTCTCGGATCAGGCGTTCGGAAATGGAGTGTTCAGCCTTGGGCTTTTCTTATGACGGTTGAAAACGTCGAAATGGACAACTCGCTAAAATGCGTCCTTTTCATCAAAGTAAGCGGCCAGATAACAAGCGTTACGCTGTAGAAGTAAGGCGAGGTATTTTTTTTGAGAATTTGACGTATTATTTTATTTCTTAGGGCGGCCGTAAATATGCCCATACAAACTCTTATAATTCCGCCATGACTGTTATTGCGCAAGATGATCATCTCACAGCTGCAGCTTGGGCCGCCTGTGATCGAATGTCTGAAACTGAGCCTAAAAATGACTTCGTTTATAAACAGGCCCAAAATGCCCTAGCATTGGGCCCTTCACTCCCAAGACTAAACAAAACCTAAATTTTCCCTACCATTTAAATACATTGCTACACAGAGATGTGATGGGAAAAATAAATTGAATGTTAACAAAGGGAACTTTGTTTGATTTAAAACCAAATTCCCAAAGATAAATAATGAGAGTTGTACGGCAGGCAGAGCCGAGAACTGATATTTAAACTTTAAAAAAGACAGGTTTTAAGGAAGCAGCTAGCTTAACGAGACAACATATTGTGTAGCAGGTAACCACTTAATGAGTAAAATAGCCTTCTGTTCTCAAGCTACAATAATATAGAGCTTGAGAACAGAATACTATTGAGCTCTTCCCTACCTTGAGTTTTTCTACCTCCTGCATATCATCAATTCTATTCTCTGCGGATTTGGTATCACTGTTCTTACAAGACGGCGAACTACAAACGAAGCATAGAAAATACCGTCCAAACCTTTCCCTTCATAAATATTTCATCAAACAAAATGCCAGAGCATATTTGACATTTAAAATGCTACTGGAAGGGATGAGATATCACTTGTATGATGCTTGCTCTGGTTGGCAGACATTCCCTCTCAGCAGGAAACTCTACTTGACCGAACAGACGGTTTGTCGACTACTGCACGCAATTTTAGTTCCCTTTGTAAAGAAATCAGTAACTCACAAATTTAGGCCGGTATACAGTCCGCTGGTTCAAAGTTCGTTGTCCGACTTCCAGGTAACTCAATTTATTACGTTTAAATTGTTCAAACTGAGGAAGCCTGCTAAAGTTTTAAATCGATGCGACTATTTTCTTGATCGTTTTCTGTTATTTCCACTTTCGTAGCCTCGTTCTGTTTTGGTCACGCAACACACTCTAGCCCCTAACAAGAAGAACGGGCGTGACGAGAAAAATAGCTTGCGTAAGCCTTCCCGCTTTCTTTCATCCAGGCAGGAGAAGCGTGAGTGGAGTGAGAGCCGAGCAAGGGCATGGGGCGAGCGCGCGGAAAAAAAGCGCAGCACCTTCTACCTCTTTGATAAATGAAACGCAAAGGCGTGTTACAAAAGCTTCGCGACCAAAGAACGTTCGCGTAAGAAAAAAAAAACATTTCAACGGGAGAACTTTCTAGTAGTACACACCTTTCAAATTCTTCATTATTTTCGTCGTCAAATTCTTGCACTTCTTCACCCTCTACTGTGGATTTCTCCAACGTGTATAACTAATGAGAGAAAGACAGAAAGTGTACAGGTCAGTGATTATCTTTTGCCACCTGTTCTATGTCCCCTAATAAACTATTTGTAACGCTCCCGGTAACCCCTGTGAACAGTGGTATGTAGCTTGACTTATACTGCAAACCAGTTTGTGAGGAGTCAACAATTTTTGTCTTGAAGGATAAGAACAAACATAGCGAGCGATTTTGAACCTGTAAAACTCTTTTTCTTTTTTAGAGTCGCAGATAAGTCTAAGAAAGAGTAGCTAATCTCAGCATGACAAAAGGAAAGAAATCTGCTGAGCTTTTGTAGTGTGTTTCGAACTCTCGGGGCGGAAGACCAAAATAACATTAAGTTACCTGGGAAACAAATAAAAAATGTTTTGTTGAAAGCATTGGAGCTTTTCCGAAGTACCATAAAAATGTTGCTGTCAACAGTTGAACTTTGAAGAACATACTGAGCCCATTGATGTCATCGGACGCAGAGGACCACCAAGACATTATAGCAGCAGTAAGCGCCTGACCGTTTGACCCCTTAAAGTCACTTACATCTAACTTCTCCCTACAATATCACCCCTGAATCACACATAAAGGTCATGAGAATATAGGAAATGATCATCAAACATAGAACCTCTTGATTGTTAAACAAATTCTCCTTGTCAGCACCTTAGGAAATATATCGAGAACAGTGAGGAGAATATCCACTCTGATGTTAGGGTGTAAAGAGTTAAGTGAAGGAATCAGCACACTTGTTTAACAAGTGCTTGTTACTATAACAACTTCGTTTACCTTGTTAGTGAGCGAGACAACGACTTGGTCCTTAACTGCTGTCATCTCCTGGTACATCTGGATTTGGTCCCTGCTCTCTCGAAGTTCTTTATTCAGCGCCCTACAAGAAAGGCGGAAATTAACGGTCTAGAGCAATAACTGGCTCATGAATGAGTGATAAAAAGGGTACTTGATTTATACTCCTCTTGCGTGACAGAGAAAACTGACTATAGGCTCTATCGGTATGTGCAGCGCTATAAGCTTTGGTTTTGACCCTTTGTGGCCTGAAGCTAAGTATGCATTTTTGTAGAGAGTTTTATGGGTGAAAGAACGTCGCGGTTCTGTAATTAATTCAGTAATACGTGAATTCAGTTTTACTTGGTTGCAACGTCAGTCTTTTTCAGCTCTGCAGTCTGCTCCTTCAGTTTTTCTTCCAACTGCTCAGACAGGAAAAGAAACAAAACAAAGATATTGGTCAACAGTTAAAAATTTATCCAACTCACAAATTCAGACAAAAGAAAAGAGAAAGGCGTAGAGCATGGGGTCGAGTGTAAGATGCTAAAAACACACCTACATCCCCCAAAAATGAAACAAATAGTAACCATAGCATCGACAAACAAAACAAAACAAAACAAAAGCAAAGCACACTCAAAAACACCTTTTTGAGTATACTGATTTTTAATTTGGATTCTCATCGGTTCCATGTGGTAACCATATTCGGATTATTGCAAAATACCAAAATTTTTGTGTTTAAGTTGTAAAGCTCCTCCGCAGTCGGTTTTGCTATATATCAGCTTCTTTTCCCAATATTTCGACCAGCAGCGATCATACACTGAATTCCATAGGTCCTAAAGCTACTTTAGCTGACACTGAATAAGGCTCTCGGCCATGAATAAAAAAATTCCATCATCACAGACTGACGAGATTCCAGAAAAGATAAAAAGTTTACGAGACCCACGATTTTCAAGGAATCATCCGCCATGGTCCATAATAAAAGCTCGCTACTAAGTAAAGATTACATAAAACTAACTTGTGCAATGTATATGAGTTTGTCCTTCGTTTCTTCTGATAAAGATCTCTGCTCATCATCTTCGTCTTGTGTCCTTAGGAGAGCAAATATGATAAAAATCGTTTGGGGACAGAGCGAAAATAACATGAAAACTTTCAGGCGCGTCTAAAACGCCGATGAGTTTCCAGTATTTCTTAACCCTTTAACTCCGATATCAAATTTGAAATTCTCCTTACGGTCGACGATACAAATCTTACAATGTTAGTTCAGAGAATTTAGTATTAGATCAACTAATAATCCCCAGATTGATATTTTTCTTTATTCTCATCACTTATCTGGTTGATATTGTATTAATATTGCAGGGAGAAATTCTGTCTTGGTCACTTAAAAGAGTTAAGGATTAAAGCGTAAACAAATTCTAATTATTACAAATAGTTATATCATACCTTTTGCTCTTTTCTATCTCAAAATGTCTGCAATAAAAGGAACGAGATTTGTTAATACATTTAATTACAGCTAACCGTGTTTTCGATCATGAATGCACATTGATTCACTTTCAGCAAAGTACAATTCATGTTGGTCTTAATCAACAAACATCAAGAGCAAGTCAAACTCATGAGACCTGCCGTAAGAGAAAAGTACAACCAAATATTAAAAACAAGTAGTCATTACACTCAAAAATACGAAAATTTAAACTCCCATGAGTTATCTTCAAGTAGCTAGAAAGCCGTGTCTGAGACTTGGGCGAATTATGGAAACTGAAAAGCGGTAAACTTTTAAGGAACACACTTATACACACGAAAAAGTACATTCTTAGTAGGATTCAACTTCTTCAATAAAATCCTTCTGAACAGGAGGTATCGACAGTTTTCACAGGACGCCTTCCGATTGCTTCCATTCATTTATTCATTCATTCATTCATACAAATTTATTTCAGCTCACAACTGATATTACCTGAGATGCTCGTGAAGACTTTCGATCACATCTTGTCGAATTTGTACCTCGCTACAGGATTACAATAGAGAAAATCAATAAATAGAATTGAACTAACTGGATTGATGGGTTACGGAATGTACTCGCTATGACAGACAATAAAATACAAGAGCTGCTAAACACAATGTGTAATCTTGCAAACCGGCAGTACATCGCGTGAAGCGAACGACTGCATTCGGTGTCCCAGAGGTCAACTGGACATGCTTAAATCACGCGTATGAGCAGCCAACAGATACTTCAAGTAGACCAAAAGAAACTAACCAAAGCGCGGGAAAGCACAACTGACCAAGTTGCACATGGTTTTAGCTTGCAACTAATTGGTTTAAAGGAATAACTTACTCCTGAGCTGTTTTTAGGCTTGTTTCTGCAGCAGCAAGAGCGTCTTGAAGCTGAAGGAAAAATATTTGCAGAAGTCAAAAATATATGTATAAATTTCTTGCCTGACACTGGCTCAAAAAAAAAAAAAAAAAAAAAGGCTTCCCTAAATTCCTCTACTCCTCATACATCCCCCTCCAGTATCTGTACAGGCAGCCGGCAAAGAGAGATACAATTATACAGCAATTTCATACAGCCTGTTCCATGTGCCTGGTTAAGAAACTGGGTGCTTTGATGGCGCGAGGGCGAAAACAAAAAAAAAAGAAAAGAAAAAAAAAAAAGAGAGAGGAGGTTTTGGCAAGTAACGGCTCGTCCGAGCTGTCCATCGTTCTGCAGTTCTTCAACATATATGTAACGCTTAAAACTAGCTCTCCGTCCCCAACTTTCTACCTTATTTTCCCCTAATCTACTATAGCTCATTGTACTCTAACTAAAAGCCTACAAGAGGCCTCTAACAGAGTGTCGCAAAAAAGGGAACAAGGAGTTGAAAAAAAATAAATTCTGGTAAACAATGACTCAACAATCTGGTTTTAATAGTTAGTAGCCCCGATTATCTCCCAACCTAAATTCACAGATTAAAATATACCTTTTCACAATCCGGGCATCGAGTCAAGCATCGAGATGTGGGTCTTCCTCCTCCCGAAGACTGACCAGTTGTTCGACCGCCGGCAAATTTCCTGAGCGAAAAAAGAAAAAAAAACAAAAACAAAGAATACGAATTAACAAAGTAACTGCAGATAACTTTAGAGATCACATTAATAGGAATCATATGATAACTTCGATATCATTACCAACGAGACTGACAGAGTCAGATTTAAAGACCCATTCATATGGTCTCGGAACCCGAGAAAATCCACCCCCTAAGTTAATCTAACCGAGATAACTTTTCTCCTATTTCTTTGAAAAAATTCACTTTTCACTTATTTCTTTGAAAAATTCAAACAACCGTTTGTATGAATCTGACGGACTGGTCTCGAGAGCCGAGAAAACTCAGGAGGGTGTGTTCTCTAACTGTAAGCCTGTCAAGCGAGACATCTTTTTCTCATATAAACACTTCGACTCGCCTACCCGAGACGAGCCGGCTCAGAGTTTGTCTAGTATGTTAACTGAATAGCTGGTACGAGAGAAACTGGTGAGGGATCAGCTGTTACAACTCACAACTCCACAAAAAAGCTCCGTCAAGTTTTGTCGAGGGGGAGGATTGTCTCGGTTATTCGAAACCGTATAAATAGGGTCTGGCAGAACCTTATTGTAGTTGCCTTTCGTATAATTTACTTACTTGCGAAGTGTTCCGGCCTTGAAACTGAAAGAGTAAATAGAGAACGTTAAGATGATTATACAAAACAGCTGCAAATGAACATAGGAAAGTTAGTCTGATGGAGTCTTAGTTAGCTTAGAGCCGCGGAAGACAAATTTGTTCTCTCAGCGTCAATGGTTCCCTTCATCGCCAGTCAAAAATCATGTAAAGCGTATAAATGAACGCTAGCTATAATTCAGGAAAAGGAAAAACAATATCTGTTTTCACTTTGAAGTCTTTTGATGTGAATCGCACGGGTATCTCTGACAATGGGGAGCTCAAAAGATTAGTTTGGCAAAATTGGTGGATTTCTTTCGAACCATTTGACCTCTAAGAGTGACTAGCCGCTAATTTCTCCTTACAGTATCAATGCTGAATCAAACATTAAAGTCATGAGAATTAACGAAATGATCACCGACTAAAAGTCTTTTTTTTCTGCTGCCGATTTCTGAGATCCTGAAGCTGATTGTCCTAAAGAGGAAAGTCTGACGCTTCTAAAGAAAATTACTTTCTATTCTCACGCAAATGAAACTCATTTTCACAACGGAGGTTTTGAAATTTGTCTAATCCCAACAATGAGGGTTCTTAGAACTTGGAAATGGTCTTTTTGAGTTTGTTTTATACTTGAAAAAAATGTTTGGAGACTCACTCGGTTCTTAAGGAGTCCAAACAAATTCTATAAACATGATACAAGCGCAAAAAAACAAAACACTCACCTGAATGGTTTTGTTTTCTCTTCCGTGTTTTCTTGTTGCTGTTGGTTGTTGCTGTCATTCTTGATGTAACTTGAGAATGAACTATAGGATAAGAAATGAAAACAGAGAAAAATCCGTAAAATTCTCGGTTTTACTATGAACCAGGCACCGGCAATATCGTCCGCTTCTTGCTGGCAACAAATTGCAGGAGCGAGCATGTTAAAACAGTCAAAAGAAGACAGTTAAGCAAAGACACTTGACAGAAAACAACAATGAGCAATTATTGCTAAATTGATAATTGATACTTAGAATTTGAATCACTCGATGCCTTTCATTTCAATTCAAACTAAGCGAGACAATGTATCTTCCAATACAATGGCAACATTGGTTCACAATATTAATCAATCAACATTAATAGTTAACAACTACCCACTAAGGAGGAGGTGGCTAGTGATGGAAATTTACCGACCCACGAAGCGGCAAGGTAAATATCCACCGCTAGTCACAGACTCTGAGATGAAGAGTTGTTTAAAATATAAAAAACACAGCGAGGTAATCTGGCAAAAAAAGGTGATTTTACTCAGTTATTCCTGCAACGATGACAATATTTTCAGACGCAGAGCCCGTGCGAGTTGCTCGGAGGTCAGTAGCAAAGGATATTGGGGTTAAACAGCCCTCAGAACGCGCCTTAAACGCTATCCACTGTTTTAGTATATGCGAATACTTAATATTCTTAAAGGGTCAGCTGTCAAGTCTCTGAATCAATGTTAGCAAGAGGGAGACTGCATCTCCTGTGTTTAAGAATGAACTAAGGATAAGTTTTGTTGCTAATAAAGTTTTTTTGCTTCCCATATTATGAGGGTATATAGAGAATGACCGCTACTCATCCTGGTATACCTTTTGCTTTCATCAGCCATTTTCTCATCTGCTGATGACTGGCCAATACCGTTGTTGGATTCGTCCAATGCCTGAACTTGTTGTAACAATTCTGTGCCAGATAAAGGTGCTGATATGTTGAGTGGGGGTTGTTGGGATAGAACTACAGACTGTCTCTTTGCATCTCTGATATAACAAGAAATATTTTATATTAATAACATTTATTTTGCCAGGATCATCT